GGTATAGGTATAATATGTATTTGACATTTAAATTGTACGGGCCTTGGGAGGGTACAAGCACATCAAACACGCCCATGACTCATTTCATCGATCCCAAAATTATAATTAATCAGTAACCAAACAAAAGGGGCTGATAGAAGTTCTCACAAAAGTGTACCTTGCCCTTTTCCACTAATACCCGTTTTCACTAAATGAGATATTTATCGATTCATCGTTTCAATCAAAACAATTTCTATACAATTAAAAGCTGTTTAATATATTATATGAAGTTTATTCGAAACTTATGAAATATTTTTWAAAAAAAAAACGTTACTTGAACATTTTAGTATAAATATATTACCTACATAAAATGTAATTAAAAATATTTTCATTTTTAAAAATAATAATCAAGAAATAATAAAAACTCATTCTGATACTGAAGTAGTGAGTCTACCAAATACGTTCTTACAAATTACCAGTTTGTTAAATGTATTATATAATCATAGGATTTGCTAAAAAAATAAATATTTTTAAAATGATTTTGAGCGTCATGCTACCTATACTTAAATTTTCAAATCGATTAACCGAGATAAGCCAATAACTATCAGACAAACTCTTACTAAACGAATTTTGTTTACTCAGATAAAAGCGTGCTTGATGAACGCAACAATATCATACAGCTTTATATTTATATGCATGTAATTTTTTCACATTGCAATTTTTTTGTAACATGTATATATTTTATAATTCCGTGATGGCCGATACAAAATACTATTGTCGAACAACTTTATTTTTTATTTTTATTAAACCAATTATGGAAAAGATGTATTATTCTGTCTTCAGATGAATTGAAAAAAAATTGATTGACTAAAACGTACAGTTATTTAAAAATTATGTATTATTTCTAATCAATCAGTATCAGCCACACGAACAACATTCAACCACAGCCATGAATGATAAATTATAAACTAAAATTTTAAGAAAAACAGTCGATTATCGGTGTACTGGCTGAAAAAATAATTGTGTAAGAAAATATGTCTATTGAGTATAATTGACTATTTAAACATCATTGAGTACCAATCTATACTCATAAAGTCATAATACTATTAATTTATGCGTAATATAGTTCACTTTTTGCTTAGTATTATTTTATTGTTGATACCAATACAAGTACAAATAACTAAAATGTATACATTAATTAACGAATATTGAATGTACAACACACATGGTAATAAATATTTATTTACGAATGTGGATATTAGAAATCGAAAACTTAAAAAAAAAAATACAATTATTTGATCGTGTTCAAAAATATCAGACATCACAAACCGTTGTATACAATATACATATAGTAAATAATTGTTAACGGACCTTATTCCATAATTGATTTATATGACATGTTTGTTTTGGTAAATAAATTAAYTGAATAAATTATACACATACAGGTATCATATATTGATAACCATTTAAGAACACTCTACTAATCAGTGCTTCGTTGTATGAATCTTATCATAATATAGTAAATCGCTATTTTGCGTCTGCAGGTTTCTATCGCCATTATTTTCTATTGCATATTATGTAATACGTTGTCGTACCACAAAGTATGATAATATTATTTCAGCTTATGTATATAATCACCGTGACGTAGATGGCCAAGTCGAGGCACATGAAAGTTTCACCATTAGTTTTAATTACATTTTATGTGTTGCCCTGGAATGCACCGACAAGAGAATATTTAGAGATGTGTATACAGCCGGCATACGTGTTTATCATCTAAAAACAACGTTATTTAGGGAGCTGTTTATTTTCCCGAGATATAACTACCATACTGTCGGTAGACCGGATCCGCCCACATCCTATAACGAGCCACTGCGAAGCGCATGTGACAATAACCGCGATAGACATAGATTGTTTTCGTACCAAACGAATTGAATCATTCATTACCTATATATGTGTATAATTAACAAATATCATGAGCACGATATTATCTCAGTGGGAACGCCGCCGCCGCCGTCCCAGTGGCGTATGATATATTGATATACATTATGTGCGTGCAATAGATTATGACGTGTATGAATTATTTAAAATACTATCAAAATAATTATTGAAAACATTCCCCAGCTAAGAAACTAAAAAAGTATAAAAAATTTCCACCAGAGATTAAAAGGTGAAAAAAATGATGTTTAATAACCGTTAAAGAGTCTAGTAATACACACAGTAAGTTGTTTAACGAATGTTGTTTTTTTTTTTTTTTTTTGAAGCCCCTATTGACATCATCAACAAAAAACATGTCTGCGTAAACAACTGCTTATAAAAAACGATTCACCTTTATAGAATCATACACAACATTATTTTATTTTTTCCAACCACATTTTGCATAATATTACGTTCCTAAATGTTTGAATAAATAAAATAATACTAGGTCAAACAATAATTGTTGAGCTGCGCTTACTATTAAATGATAGAATTTAATATAAATAATACTTACCTATAGGACATTTTAAATATCTAATCTATGTTTAAAAGTTTATAAATATTACTGAGAACTGAGAAGTTGATCGACTAGGGACTTGTATAATCTTTCTTTAAAGTTGTTATAGCTATATCCTTTTATTTAAAAATTATGCTGTAACTGACTTATTATATAGCTGTTATGACCTAAAGTGCTTTACCATGTTTTGTATGTATTTTCTTAAATCAAATTTTCCATATTATTTAAACCAGATAAAAAACAACTTAAAAACTATTTATTAAAAATGTATTCTGTTGTCGTATGAAATATAAACTAAATATCTAAATAAATTTTTTGTTTTTTCCTCATAGACGCTACAAGATGTTGGTATTATTATATTTACAATACAATATTTCTAATAAGTAAATGAAACATATTTGTATAGTGGATAAACATGTGTTAAAATAGTTATAAACGTAATATTCTTAAGTTTAAAATAATTATGTACATAATTCTAGTGTTTAATCTTAGAAAATTACTATTTCTTGGATTATAAAATTATGTAATTAAAGTTTAAGATATTTCCTGATCTAACATTTTATCGTTTAAAATATTTTCAAACAAGTAGCTGATAGTCAATATATTTTAAAAATCACAGAAAAGTAATTCACGAAATTGGTGATTTTTCGAGCTGTAGTCAATTTTGAATCTGTACTAACTATAATAATATAGAAAGCTAAATTTATAGTGATTGAATTACAGCATTGAATATCAAAACTCGTCATGTTCTTTTCTAATAAGAYGAGATTGAGTAAAACAGTATTAGTATATTCTTTATTTTCAAWAAACACCGGGAAAAACTTAAGTTTTAACACTATAGGTAAATAGAATAAAATATGTGTCTCACTTATAAATATAATTTTTTTTTAATCTTAATTAATTTTTCTATAATATTGAATATGGGTATAATATATTATATATATATTATTATAATAATATTATAATAATATAATATATATATATGGCTATAAACCAATATTTTGGATTTTGTCCATTCTGAGCAGTTTCATGAATCATGAATATGTATTTGGTATTATATTTTAAGTCATCACATTCCGAAGTAGTAAAAATTATATAATCTTCAACTCTGGTAGTAGTTTCTAATATCGAATCTATTTGGCACTTTGGGATCCAAAAGTAAAAAACTATAGTTTTTTAAATATAACCTTGWAAAATAGCTAATGTGAACCGACGCAAAACATTATAATTTCATCAAAATGGATTTTGTTTTATTTTGTTGTGATTTTATAATTTAAAAATTATTAAATGGTTTCAACTCCTTATTTCAGAAAATATTTATATTAACTTTTACTAGTCCCACAAGTTTCAAATATTCTAGTATTTTTTCGTATAACTAGGTACTATATATACTCATTATATGTTTGACATTTTCACTATTTTTTCCAATTTATATATGACGCAGTTTTTTTTATTGTGATTGAAAATTCTTGAAAGTCACATTTCCGTTTGAAGTTTAAATTTTCACGAAATTGGATATCTAAACGAAAAATAAGGGCTATAGTTATTTAGATGTCAATATTTCAAAAAAAAATAATAATAATAATTCGCTGCAAGGACTAAATACTTTTCACCATTACCTACGGTATTTTAAATAATTTAATTACCTATATTTATTCCGTCCAACGATACATCGGAATTGATTGTTAGTTAACAACAGGCATTAAAGTAGTTTTATGAAATAATATTTTAATAACTGTATGCAATATTATATAATTAATATATAAGAAATTTATGGTTGACATGAATTAGTTCATCCCCACGTAGTTATGGTGCCGTTTGCTATATTAGAAAAATAAATTACTTAAAGTAATATAAATATGTAATTAAATATTGTTAGAAATATGGCCGTCTGTCAGACCGCCTATGCTCAGAATCGTTTTTCGTATACAAAGAAATTTATCATCAGTGKCGTATCCATTGGTGGGGCTGATGATGCTGTAGCCCCACCCCCTGCAATTTCAGGAAATCTTAAAATATTACTATTTATAAAATAATATAAAATACATAGGCACTATATACGGCAATACAGCAATACGGTGTAAGTATTACCACAGAATAGATTTAATCTATAGGCCTCTGCTTTCACGAGAGCAACGAGGGTACTTTACTGTCATCGTGTAAACACAGCTTAATAATGTAACACTCGTTTTTGTAACACCTTACCTTTTTATTTATGAAAGGTTTGGCACAATGATAAATTATCATTGWATTCAAATTCAACATATTATTATTTTATTGCTGCGACTGACTTTATAAAAAKGCGACACTCAACTTAGCTACAACRAAATGATTTTCCCRGTTTTTTTAATTAACACGGTGTTATTGTAAATAGCAGAAAATCTACTCGATTTTTAAATTTTCAAGGTTATTTTTTTATCATACTAATAATCATAGATATTATTATGATTATAGRTCTACTGTGTTATTCAATATTTTAATATTTATCAAATATAATTAGTAACCGATGGTTTATATTTTTTAATTTCAGATTCTGTACGTTATCATGCTGCTATCAAATTAGTGAACATATCGGCTATTGTAAATGAAAATCTCAATGAATTTTTACAACTTAAAATTTTAAAATATGTAAGTAATACACTATACAAATAATATCTATTATATGAGTAGTACTTTATTATTCATTTTTTTACATTAAAATATTAAATTGATAATTTGGCATTTGGTCGGTATAATGTACGAAAACGATAATAGAATAATTTATTGTGTTTCTACAAAAGTGAGATTAKACTGGAATTTAATGCAATCTAAATATAGCTCATAATATCATAGATTGATTTGATTGTACTTATTTATAAAAATTATTCAATTTGGTTCAACTATAATAATTCAGCTTTATAAATATTATGTTTTGTGACCACATTGCATGCTCCATGCTGCAGCGAAAACTAAAATGCACTGGGGTTTCTATTTACGATTCGTCTTCACAGTTCAAACATCACATGGTACATTATGTAGGTACAATAAACAATGATGTAGAGACAAAAAAAAAA